CCTGGTTAATATTATCCTCCCTGTGCAGGACCATCATGTATAAAACCTCTGGTACAAACATTGGCCCTTATGCATTAAGGAAATTAGCCAACTTCTAGTGATTATATAAGTTAGGAAGGGTTTCCTGCTCTGGTTGTCTTGTGGGCTGAACCTTAATATCCCCTTAAATGTTCCTGTGACCGCTTTTTCTAAAATTTATAATTTTTCCATCCAAATTTTATTTTCTAAAACCTAGATAAGAGGCAAGCCTGTTAGCTCTCAAGGGTGAGTTCTTCTAAAGAGGGCTATCAGTCTGTCTGGATTAGAAAAATCATATTATAATTTACCATACATAATCTTGAATTAAGTACCATAATCTGGAGAATAAGGAGCACAGGAAATTAATGATACCTAAGTGAACTTAGAAAGAGATGATATCAGAATGTTCTTTCCCTTTAGTCTGTCCAGGACATTGTGACTAGAAAGTGAAAAGCAGGAACCCAAGGCATGGTGGGGCAGGAACAAAAGCAAACAAGAGCAAATGAGTATCAGAGAGGGTCTACTTCTATTTCAGAGAAAAACAGGTTTGGGATCACAATGCAAGAGGGCAGAAATTAAGACCAATGGGTAGACCCCACATCGTAAGCCTCCCACCCAAGTAGGCTATCCCTTCTTACACCCCATTGTTGTAGCTATGTGCTGGTAGCAACTTGTCTCTTGTAAGATTTTTGACCCTGGAGTACAGCAAATTCACACAAGCTTCCCAGATCTAGCCATCACAAAGTGTCAGCTCCCTTTGTACCTGGCTAGTCTTGGAGGCATATGGCTAGAAAAACTTAAGTCCCCTTTAGAAACTGATAAATATACTATGTAAAAAAGTAAGAATTCAAAATTGTTACTTTTAGAAATTAACAAATATACCATATAAAAGATGTCAAAATCCAAAATAGCCGTGTGTGCTGGTGCATGCCTTTAGTCCCAGCACTCCGGAGGCAGAGGCAGGCAGATCTCTGAGCTCAAGGCCAACCTGGTCTACATAGTGAGTTCCAGGACAGCTGGGGCTACAGGGAGACCCTGTCTCAAAAAAACCAAAAAAAAATCCAAAATAATCCATGAAAACAAGGTCAAAACCTAAAAATACTTCCCTTTAAGTCAGTAAATATGTCAAACAATGTATCAATTTCAAATAGTCATCTTAAAAACCAGTAAATATACCATACAAGAAGTTAAAACCCAAAATAATCCCCTTTAGAAACACATCAAAACAATGATAAAATTTAAACTCCCACTGTGGAGGTATGGTATTACCTTCTTAGTCTGAAATAAAAATGCATTGGCAAAGGAGACGGTTGGAATCTCTAGTTTTTCTATGATCCCATCAAGAATTCAAGATGAGAACAAAAACAAGTAAATTGAAACAGGATTAGGATATATGATTAAATGCCTGAAGTCCAGGGAATTCCTAGGTTATCATGAACCCCTAGAGCTCAGTAGTACCAGTAAGTTCCTGGGTGTCACTATTTTGAATTACGCCATGTGGTTGGATTAGGATGGTGGCAAGTTCACACAGGTCAGTGCCATTTTGAAAATGTTACTGTCCAAGATGGCAACCAAGCCATGTGACTACACCAATATTGATGATGTCATCAACTAGCACACATCATTGAGCTGTTGTTCTGAGAGCACAAGTCTCATTTGAGCATGGTGTGTGACTCTCCTTGTTCACTGAAATTTAAAATGCTTACATCTAGTTAAAAAAGCAGCTGCCTTGGGACCATGTGGTCTAAGCACTGATTTCTTGGTCCCCAACAGGACCTGAGGTTCAAATTCCAGGCCCCTCTGATGGTTCTCCTTTTTCCCATGCATGGAAAGAATCCATGGAGAGAATTACAGTGGAGGGAAAAACTCAGCTTGAGAAAAAAAATCCAGAAATGAAATGATCTTTAAAACCTTTTTTTTTCCTCTAGGAGTCAAAGCATTTATTGACTGAAAAGCCTGGAGGCAAGATAGCAAGATAGATAAAGAAGCTCACCTGTATGCTGAGTGTGGTGGACCACACCTTTAATTCCAGCACTTGGGAGGCAGAGGCAGGTGGATCTCTTTGAATTCAAGTCCAGCCTGGTCTACAGAGTGAGTTCCAGGACCCTGGGGCCTGCTGGGAGACCCTGTCTCAAAAAGACAAAAAAGCAGCTCACCTGCTTAGCAGCCAAATTCAGCATACCTGTAGAAAATCTCTACATGACCACGAAATAAACAAGTTATTAGAATTTTTGGGATCCCTTCCTTGTCGCCAATATGAAGGGGGGAGCGAATGCTAAAGGGTTCTTAGTCTCATTCATAAAAGAACTTAAGAATGGACCAAAAGGGAAATTTTAGGACAATTTTATTAGAATTGTAAGGAAAATCCTCAGGGCAGGAGAGCTGGTAATCTTGACAACTGCCTTAAGGAGAAGAATGGAGGGGAGAAAGGGAGAAAACCATGAAGCATTCAGGTTTCGAACCTGCCTGGAGATCAGATATGTGACTGGCTGGCAGCCACACGGCTAAAAGAAGGAAGCTTTGGAGAAAATGTAATGAAATACAAGATGCTAGGGAAGCTCAAAGCGTCAATGAAAGCATGTTTAGAAAAGGGATATGAAGAAGAAAAGGAAAGATTACGCTGTTCTGAAGAATTCAGAAAAGTGGGCAGACTTACAGAGACCTACATGTCTGACACTAGGTCCAGAAACTCTGCCTCAATAATTTTATATTCCTTTTAGCCCTGACTTAGATTATCTCTTCCCATCTGTTTTTGGATGTTGTTTGTTCTTGTTTTTTCAAGGACTTTGGGTGAATCATTAAGATATTAACTTGAGATTCACAAGTCTTTGGATGTAGGCACATGGTCCTGTGAACTTTCCTCTTAGGACTGCCTTCATTGTGTCCCATACTTGTTATGTTTTGTTTTCAATTTGCTTCTTGAATTCTTCAGTGACCCAGTTATCATTAACAAATCCCATTTGTGCAAGATCACTTTCCCCCTTCTATTGCATTGTGTATGTTTGCATTTGTATTAGATTATGAGACAATTAGCAGGAAGCTAGATAGGATTTTTGTCAGTCTTTTTCCTTCGTAAATTTAGCCTGTTGAGTCCAGCTCATTTCAAAAAAATCGAGGCTTTATGAGGTCTGCTTGAAAAAAAACACACTGTATTTGTAGTTCGTATTATGACACTTTCATGCATGCACAAAATGTGACTCTAATTATAGACACCCATAGTTTCCATCCCTATCCTTCTTCAACCTGCAATTCTTACATAACCCTGAGTCTACCTGTTTCTTCCATGTAGTACTCCACCAGATGCCACACATGAGAAAATGTGTAGCATTTATCTTTTTGAGACTGATTATTTCCCTTATCGTGATGATCTGCAGTTCTATTTATTCCCCTTTCTGACAGAAATATGCCAGAAAACACATTTCTGTGAGGATGTGCCCAGTACTCAGAGAATACAGTACCATTGTTCTCTTCATGTTCTTCCTATCAACAGCTCTACACTAAGTTGTGATCACTAAAAAATGCTTCCAAACTTTGGTGGTTGCCCCCAAAGATTGCTGTAACAGAAAAAAAAAACTCATGTGGAAAACCTGCTTTAGAATAGAATTTAGAGAGATCCACAAAAAAATCAATTAAAATACATTTTTTAAAAAATAAAATGTCAATAGACTACTGTGAATGAAAATTCCCAGAAAGAAGCAGCTCTTTTTTAAAAATATTTTATTTATTTTTATTTTATGTGTATATGTGCTCTGCCTGTGTGTGTGTAAGTGCACCCACGTTGTGCAATCCCTGCAGAGGTCAGAAGAAGGCGTCAGATTCCCCTGGAACTGGAGTTACAGATGGTTGTTAGTGGCCATGTGAGTGCTAGGAATCAAACCTGGGTCCTCTGTAAGAGCAGTCAGTGCTCTTAACCACCAAACCATCTCTCCAGCCCCAAGAAGCAGCTCTTTACACTGACCTTCTCCCAAGCTGACTGATGAGTTAGAAATTCACTGATTGTGAAGAGCGTGCAACGTTGCAGGTCCACAGCCTAATTACAATTTTCTTGAACTATCTTTAGCCACCTTAATATCCATCCCATGCCCAATTCTGTGCCTTATCTAGAATTCTTATGATGATCAGGTGAAACCTTTTAGGGTGTATTAACAGTCCACTACCTTCCACCAACCAAAAAAATCTAAGAATGCAGTCAGCATCCAAGGCCTACAGCAGAGACTCTCTGGCTTTGATGAAACCTGCCAACTTAATGTTCCCATCCATGGATTTGAAAAGTATCTTAATTTGTTATTTTCTTTGTTCTATTACTGTAAAACTCCATGGAATTATTACCATCCTATAAGATAGAATTTGGGGAAATTCGAATCTGTGTTCCTGGTCATGACCACTCATAGTTGGCTCCAGAATAAGTGATCTATCATTTCAAAAATAAAATAAAATTTGGTCTAAATAATAAAAATAATAACAATAAAGAGCAAAAAGTCAGACAAATTCTGTATGCAATCAAAACTCTAAAGACATTTAGAGTTGAGTATTTAAGTAGACATTTAAGTATGCAGGTTACTGCCAATGTGTTAGACAAGCATCCTCATGAAAGATCAAAACATTGAAAAAAAGGTCTGACAATGTAAAGTATGATCTGCTGAATAAAATTCCTTATAACCTGAATGTTTATCTTTCACATAGGCCAAGCTGCCCTCCTACTTGATGTAACAGAATTCAGGGCATTTCCATTGATCCCACCTGCTTCTCAGCACCTTCAATACTAGAAGGTTCTCAAGAATCCCTGGAACACAGTTCCTGGAGGTGCCACATCTGGATCTGAAAGACAAAAGAGTTTGGCTGCTCACCAACCTTCTCTCCTCCAGAAGTGTCAGTTTGTTTTTCCACAAATGACATTTTATAATTACTTTTATAATTCCCTCAGCTTAGTTTTTGTTGTAGGCCTCATAACCCTAAATAACATCTAAGGAATCACTGAGATTATGCTTCAACGTGACCCTGCCTTTGGAGGTTTCCTCATATCCCAGCTCTGTGTTGGTGTCCTAGGGAACTCATTGTTCCTCGTGTTATATGTGTATACCTTCTTAGTCCAGCCTCGTTTTAAAAAGCCTATAGATGTCATTTTCATGCACCTGACACTAGTCAATATGTTGACAATCATATTCATATTGGTACCAGCTATTGTGTCATCCTTTGGAGTAAGTCAATTTCTGAACAATGCTGGTTGTAAGGTGGTTTTGTATATCTTCCGGGTCACTCGGGGTCTGTCCATCTGCACTACCTGCATTCTGAGCACATTTCAATCCATCATCATCACTCCCAGTAATTCTCAGTGGGTGTGGCTTAAGTCAAAACTCTCTACTTGGACCTTTTACTTCTTCTTGTTTTCCTGGTTCATCAACCTGATCATCTATGTGCGTGTCATTGAGACTGTGATGGCCAAAACTAATTATACTCATGCTGGTTGTGGATATTCACAGGCTTACTGTGAAGTCACAGAGTTTGGGAACATCAAACCCGAATTCTTTTTGAGTGTCATACTGATTCGAGATCACTTTTTTGTGGTCCTCATGATGTGGACCAGCCTCTACATGGTGATTCTCCTCTACAGACACCGTAAGAGAGCCCAGCATGTCCACAGCACAAGGCTTTCCTCCCAGTCATCTCCTGAACGCAAAGCCACCCAGAACATCCTGTTGCTGGTAAGCTGCTTTGTGTTCTTCTTTTGGGTAAATGACTTTGTCACCCTTTATGAGTTTTATATGCCTGAGAAAATGACAAGATTGAGGGGACTTAATACAGTTTTAACAACCTGCTACCCTACCATCTCCCCATTTTTACTAATGAAGAATAGTAAAGTTATTTCACAGTTTACTTCTTCCCAGTCACTACTGAGAATTACAGGTTTTCAAAGAGCACTCAGAGACTGATCTGAACCTCAGACTTCCTCATCCACAGAAGAGTCTTTCTAATGACTGGTATGATAAAACGAAAGGGATGTTCCTCCTGAACCCTGATCCAGCCCCAGTTAGACTTCAGACAATTTATATATATCCAAAATTCAAAGTTTTAATTTTTGCATAAATACAATTTCATCCATAGCCATATTTTTTTCATACTTATTGCTCATTTAAGTGATTATACTTTGGGAAAAAATGAGTGCCTTACATTGGTTCTGTTAGGGTCCTAAAATGGCAGGACAGCTCCCAACATTCTAAAAAGGGAGTTCGAACTTAGCCCCGGAAAAGTCTCTCTGATTGTTGGGAAACCAACCAATCCTGAGGTAAACTGCCCAGATGACATCATGAAAAGTTACCCAACCACCTAACTACCTATAAAAGATGTCTGGCCTCTCTGCTTCCCTGGACCTGCAGGACCAGCAGGCCTCTCTCCGACCTGCAGGCCTCTCTCTCCAGGGGAAGTTGATCACGCCCTCCTCACCTTTACTCCCCCAGCCTCATTCACCCTCCCATCTCCCCTGCTGCCAGCCTCTCCTCCTAGCCTGGGTCCTTTCCCATTCCTTGCCTTGGCACCCCAGACACCTGGTGAACCACCACTTCTGCCTGATCCTTTGCATCCAGTCCGACTGAGTTCCTTCTCGGGTCCCCAGGAGCATTCTGGGCCTGGTACCACCCTCACCTCCCTCTGCTTCCCTGGTCTGCACAACCTGCCAGCCTCTTTCCTGGATGCCAGGGCTGACCTTTCCTCTTCCTGGACCTTTGCATCCAGACCGACCCAGCTCCTCAGTGGAGTCCCCAGACGTTGCCTCCACTCCGACTGAGTTCCTTCTCGGGTCCCCAGGAGCATTCTGGGCCTGGTCCCACCCTCCCCCCCCTCTGCTTCCCTGGTCTGCACACCCTGCCAGCCTCTTTCCTGGATGCCAGGGCTGACCTTTCCTCTTCCTGGACCCACTACTTTCCTGATTCCTTGCATCCAGACAGACCCAATTCTTTTTTGAGGTCCCCAGGAGCCCTCTGGGCTTGATCCGGCCCTCACTTCCTTCTGCTTCCCTGGGCCTGCACAACCCGCCGGCCTCTATCCTGAGTAAGTCAATTGTGCCTTCAGTGCCTTGACTCCCCTAGCCTCATCCACCTTCCCATCTCCCCCTCTCATCTCTCCTCCTAGCCTGGGTGCTGTCCCATTCCTTGTCTTGGTGCCCCAGACACAGGGGGAACCACCACTCCTTCCTGATCCTTTGCA